GATAGTCCATCAACAGTTTATGGCCAACCTTGGGAACTGATAGTCCATCAATAGAGTACGGCCAACCTCGGGGACTGATAATCCATCAACAGAGTACGGCCAACCTTGGGAACTGATAGTCCAACAATAGAGTACGGCCAATCTCGGGGCCTGATAGTCCATCAACATAGTACTGCCAACCTCAGTGACTGATAGTCCATCAACAGAGTACGGCCAACCTAAGTGACTGATAGTCCATCGACAGAGTAAGGCCAACCTCGGGGACTGAGAGTCCATCAACAGAGTACGGCCAACCTCGGGGACTGATAGTCCATCAACAGAGAACGGCCAACCTCAGTGACTGATAGTCCATCAACAGAGTAAGGCCTACCTCGGGGACTGAGAGTCCATCAACAGAGTACGGCCAACTTCTGGGACTGATAGTCCATGAACAGAGTACGGCCAAGCTCAGTGACTGATAGTCCATCAACAGAGTACGGCCAACCTCAGTGACTGATAGTCCATCAACAGAGTACGGCCAACTTCTGGGACAGATAGTCCATGAACAGAGTACGGCCAAGCTTAGTGACTGATAGTCCATCAACAGAGTAAGGCCAACCTCAGTGACTGATAGTCCTTCAACAGAGTACGGCCAATCTCGGGACTGATAGTGCATCAACAGAGTACGGCCAATCTCGGGGACTGATAGTCCATCAACAGTGTATGGACAACCTCTGGGACTGATAGTCCATCAACATAGTACGGCTAACACTAATCTCAAATCAATACTATATATACTATTACATAAAAAACCCACTATAGCATACCTGAGTGTGGTTACAACCTAAATATATATGTACGACGCCTTCTTCAATCATATGCGATACGGATATACTGTAATTTAAATAAAAGCAATCTAAATAAATTTATCGAACCTTAGCCAAATGAGCACAACGTTATAACGCCTCTTACAAAGAATCAAATTATCTTTAATGGTAACACATTTGTGCGTATACAGAGTTGCTTCCCTTTTCTACACGTTGCCTTTATTTATTTTCGTCCGGAAATTGACGTCCAGTGGGGAAACAGGAAGTGTATCCTTGAAGCAAAGACAATTGTGTTTCAACCCATACATGAATATCTTCATATAGTGAAAGCAATCTTTAAGTTTTATTACTTGTTTATTTAGATAAAAAATAATGTACATTCTGAGTGAAAAAAGTCTATCACATAAAATGTGATACTAACAGGCTTGAAACTTTGTTCAGAGATTATCCTACCATGACGTCACAAGCACGTCACAATCCATCGGTAATTTCCGGAAGGATGAAAAATAACCGGACAATTCTGGAACTGATGTCCGTTGCATTTATCTCCTTGTCGGTGCTTCAAGACTTTTGTTTTTATTTTATTTTTTCCACAGTCACAAAAAGTAAAAATGCAGATATTTTCTGAAGATCTTTTTTGTCATCAACCCGGTTCTGTTGTTTTTTTCTATAGGGAGATATCTTCAAAAAAGAGATTTTTTAAAATTTCATCAGCTTTTGATTTCCATTTGTTGAGAATATGAACGAAATAATTGACATTTTTTAAAGTCTGGATACAGTCTTTACATTATTTATGCATCACCACTCATAAAAAGAACCAATGGAAAATGCATTTCTGACGAAATTAACAATAATTTTCCAGACAACCAACCCAAGTGCAACGCCCTTTTTCAGCAATCTATTACTTTTTCACAACGCGTGCCGATTTATAACTAGTTACAGACAGAAACTGTAATTCTATTTGGCATCATTACCTGTCAAAACTCGGTGACAGTTACAAAATTTTGAATTCAATCCAGTGTTTCAGGATGGAACAGTAATTGAGACTACATATCCATATCAAGACACTTTCAGTTACATCAAAGTATTACAATGTTTTCTTTTCTTAATTTCATTTTTTTAACTAACATCTCTATACATTTACTTAGACTAATCGTCAAATATGTAATATGCACTTTTTTCTATAATAATTACCAAACAGTTTCCCCCCCAGCTTATCTCAATCATTCTTTTTGTGCCCTGTCGGAAGCACGCAGAGGGTTTAATTCTTAATATGGGAGGAAGCTGGAGTATCCGGAGAAAATCTGCGTGGTCTGGCAGGTGACCGGGATTGAATCCATCCATCTTGGTGAAGACGAGTGCGCTATCCGCTGCGCCACTGACCCATCGTATACGTTACGCACAAGAACAAATATCTACTTTAGCTTTGACTGGAAGAAAATGGCGTCATTGATGCAAACATTATTTTGTGAATACATTTTTACCAATCATCAATGATATAAAAAAAAAAATCTACATACGGGAGACCGAGGCAAGTTCAGCCATCCCTGATATTTTTTGGTTTTTGAGCTAATATTTACAAGTTTAAGGATCTTATCAGTTTAGTTGGCTGGGTATTCAACGACGAAAAAATGGCGAGGAAAAATCTAATGTAAAATGACTTCATAACAGGAGAAAATTACTTTTGAGAGGGTAGAAAGAAAATCCTGATCTCGCTTCTAGTTATGCAATTTTTTTGAAACGGAATTACTACTTTTTTACAGTCAAACGTGTAACACACTGACAGCTTCAAATGATAGGCCCCGAGAGCTGATATCGGGACCGAGGGCTGATAAGGGATACGATATCAAAACGGTCATATAATAACCTCTAAATACCATGGCAAGGTCGGCCCACGTAAAAGTCGTAAAATTGGTGGAAAAATCTGACGTCGCATGCTTTATGACGTCATAATTAAACTGATTCCAATGGGGGCCGAACTTACCCGAATGCCTGTCTGAACTTACCCCATGGCGGGGCTCGTTCGGCCATCCGATCTTCCGATAGGAAAAGTTGAATAATGTTCAAAAACGGACGTGCTGCCATACTTCCTAGAACGGACTTCAATAAAAAAAAAAGGCTGAACATGCCCCGGTCTCCCTATTCTTATGTCGGTCTTAATATCATTAGAGCTAAAGTTTATCTTATCTCATTCTGAAAGTTGTATTCTTAATCAGTAAATATCAGAGATCAACAAAAGCTACAAATAGAATTATCACTCAAATAAAACACATAACACCTATATATACGTTGGGTATTACACAAAGAAACACAAGTTTACGTTACATCTCTTCGTCCGTCACCTATGAGTCCTCAAAAGGTACTAGCGTGAATTATTAGCCCACAAAGAAACAAGTGCCAAAACTGACCACCCAGAACGGACCAATGAAAACGCATACACAACTTGACGTAACACTACTGACCAATGAACAACTGTATGGTATAACAACTTGTCAATATACGATGCGAGCTGAACACCACATTACACATGTAGACATAACAGCACAGCATAGAATACAACATGCAGACTCGGTAGTTACATTACTCGGAGTATGAAATATATACATGGACAGTCGAAGCGCTAAGGATGGACTTAGTAAACAAACATACATAAAAGCAAATACATTAATTCTATCCCTGTTACATCACCAAACCCAGTTTCGTGTTAGGAGACCAACACAGGCAAAGTGATATCTCCACGGGCTGACTAACTACCGGATCTCTATTCCCCTCTGCACTATCAAGCAGATAAGAGAAAATATAAACAAAACAAAAACAACACTATGATTCAATAATATTCACCGTTTTTAGGTCACCTGAGCTTTAGCTCAAGTGACCTATTGCTATCCGTCGTCGTCCGTTAACATTTTACTTTTTCAACTTAAGCTGAAATACTGGCCAAGGGATTTCATTAATATTTCATGGGAAGGTTACTGACATCTCCCTGACCAAGTGTTGTTATTTTCGGGTCGATCAGAAATCCAATATGGCCGCCAAGGCCGCCATTTTGAAAAACTTTTTCAAACTGAAAGTCAAGTTCTGCTAGACCGATTGAACTGAAACTTTGTAGGAATGATCGACTCATGGTCCTTACAAAGTGTTGTTATTTTTTGGGTCGATCAGAAATCCAATATGGCCGCCACGGCCGCCATTTTGAAAAACTATTTCAAACTTAAAGTCAAGTTCTGCTGTGCCGATTGAACTGAAACTTTGTAGGAATTATCGACTCATGGTCCTGACAAAGTGTTGTTATTTTTTGGGTCTATCAGAAATTCAATATGGCTGACACGGCCGCCATTTTGAAAAACTATTTCAAACTTAAAGTCAAGTTCTGCTGTGCCGATTGAACTGAAACTTTGTAGGAATTATCGACTCATGGTCCTGACAAAGTTATGTTATTTTTCGGGTCGATCAGAAAAACAATTTGGCTGCCATGGTCGCTATTTTGAAAATTATACCTATTTCAAACTTAAAAACAAGTTCTAATAGGCCGATCTAACTGAAAATCGGTCTAGGAATGTCAGCTCATGGTCCTGACAAACTTAAGTTAACGTTATACTTAACATTTTTTTACTCAAATTGGTACATATTTCAACAACAAAAATAAATACTGTAGGACTCAGGTGACCGTTAAGGCCCATGGGCCTCTTGCATGTCATAAAATATGAATTGAATATATCAATTGATCACATTATGGAAATTGTATCGATGTTTGTGTGTGTATTGCCACGAACTATATTTTTTACGGGGAAAGTCACGAGACAACATTCCGTGAGCAATTCCATGGGCTATTCTAACTCTTAAACAAACACCACGAAACTAGAATTTCAAAGTGCGTTGTGAACTTAGAAATTAAAATTACAAAAAAAAAACCACTTAAAAAAACATTTAACAGCATTCTTTTCCGTGTTATTGTCCTATAACACGCAACAGGATTGCAGACAAATAATAGCGCGTTATTCATTTTGTCTGCAATCCTGTTCAGTGTTATAGGACCATAACACGGAAAAGAATGCCGTTTAATGATGAAACACCTATTTTCTGTGTTGTTCTCTCATAAACTATCCGTAGTGTAATCAATACATATTATATGTATATCTGGTTTGTAAACTCTGTATCATAACCAAATTATAATCGTAAATATTTCTGTTACAGGTCAGGTTTTATCAGTGCTGTCCCTAACAATGGCTGAAGGCGGACCTCCCCCGGAACTGGACTTACACTTCCTGGAGTGTCCAATATGTCTGGAGCGACTTCAACAACCAAAGTCCTTACCCTGCCTCCACTGCTTCTGTCAGGAATGCCTCGGGACCTACATCACCAAGGAGCTATCTGGTAAAATGGTGTCAGCAACGTCGTTTCCTTGTCCAGTCTGTAGGAGGATGACCTCGCCAGTCAATCAAGCAGAAAATAAGGAAAAATGGGCAGAACAGTTCCCGACTAATGCTGTGATCCAAGAGCTTATACAACTTAAGGTAGGTTCGTCTGAACCACTGTACTGCAAGCCCTGCCAGACAAGAGGTAACCTGACAATACCAGCGAAATTCTGGTGCAAGACGATGGACGTGAAATTCTGTGAGACTTGTAAGATACAACATCATGATATTATGCACAATGAATGTGATATCCTAAATATTACTGGGTACGATAGCAGGAAGACAAAACAGGAAAAGTCAGCCCCTAAATGTGACCAACACGACGAGAAGCTGGTTTGGTACTGTGAGGACCACAAATATCTTGGATGCAATATATGCGTTTTCAAAGACCACAGGCGTTGTGAAGAGGTATCAACAGCGACAGAGTATTTTCAGATGTTGAAAACAGAATCACAGCTAGCAGACATGCAGGCTGCGTTGAAGAATGGAGCGGAGGTCATGGACTTATTAGTGAAGGACTTTGACGAACAACTCCAAACCATCATACAGAACCAAGAAATCGCACTGCAGAGTATCACAGATCTACGTCAAAAGGTCGACAAACGACTTGACAAGCTTCAGAAGGACGTCACTGACAAGTTGATCATGCTGTTCAAAGAGGAGAAGGGGAATATGGAGGCCTCGTCACGGCAGTGTGAACGTCTGTTGAACAGTATGCGAAATACCCTAAAGTCGTCCGTTACAGCCGCAGAGTGGAACGACGCTATTGAGGCGATAGTGTTGTATCAGAGAGGACAGGCAGAAGTGGAGTCATGTAAGGCCCTGGTCACGGAGATGAGCAAGTCCTTCACGTCCGTCAGCATTAACCATCAGATTGTTCCCAGACTGGTAACCCTTGGCGATGAGGCAATGGGAACAATCGTCGTCGGGAAACAACCTCGATGTATCCCTGGGAGCAAAAGTGGTTTTGCATCTCCCATGTCAGAACGCCGTGTAAAGGAAATCGGAAAGTTCAAAATCAAGTCTCCATCAGATAAGACAGATTGCCTTGTCTGTGGCGTTGTATGCCTTCCATCTGATGTAATAGTAGTAAGTGATCACAACAACAAGAAGCTGAAGTTGTTTACAGACACAGGACAGTTCCTGAACGAGTTGACCATTCGTGGATATCCCCGAGATCTGTGTCTGGTGAACAACAATACTGTGGCGGTCGCTGTCTACAGTCCTAGTGGTGTCCGTGTCGTGAAAGTCGAGGACTCCAAACTCTCCCTGTCGTCTGAGATCAACACGCCTAATGGTAAAGACTGTTATGGTATAACACATAGTGACGGGAGGTTTATCGTGGGTACAGTTGGAGGAGACGTATACATTGTGACACAGGACGGAGCGACTGAGTTGTTACATAAGTATAACAACAGCTGTTACAGCCTCACACAAGATCCAGTAAAGGGAGACACACTCGTCAGTGTCTATAACAAAACCACAGGGGAAATTGCGGTGTCCAGACTATCGGCTGACAAACGTCACACGGATTTAATGAAGGTCGGTGTCGTGATTGGTGCTAGGGGAATAGACGTGGACAGGGAGGGTAACATATACGTGTGTGGTAGGGACTCACACAACGTCGTACAGATGTCTGGGGACGCGACACACGTCAGAGAACTGCTGATGTCATCAGATGGAGTAAAATATCCCTGGGTAATAGCTGTTCGTGGTGACAAGATTTTAGTCTCTACTACTATTGGTAGAGATGACAATAATTATATCCGTGTTTTTCAACTTTACTAGAAAGAAATTTAAAACCAATACAACAATGGGCTGATCATTTGGACCATTTGTTTACCGTAACAATCGGATGGACAATGTTTGAACACGAATTTAAATAATGGTATTGTTTCACCACAAAACATCTGTAAATAATACAAAGCGAATGAGATCCGTGTCCGTGTTTGGTTCTGATAACGTCACACCCACAGTATGTTGAAACATTTAACACCACAATAAACCTTCCCGATCACCTTCCTGTGGATGTTGTTCAGTCATCTTTACTTTGAATTTTAAACATCTGGAAACAATTTCTGAAAACTAACCGTAACTATTAGTTTTGTAAGTTTGTTTATACAACTGAAATTAGGTCCTAATGATTCCAAGTTCTTTTTATTTTATAACCACATAAAAAATATGTAATTTTCATTTATTTTTTCCTTCATGATCAAGTTAAACATATTAAATTGGAATAACATTTTGCATTTAACATCCTGGTTTGTTTAGTTTTTTGATATTTAAGAAATCTAAGGATATATCTGATGATCGCCGGATTATAGGAAAAAGAAAACCAGACTTTTCAGTGATGTCGTTCTATCAAGATAATTATTGATGAAATAAAACAGATAAAAACTGTATACAATTAGGAAACTTTAAAGTCACTCTTTTCCAAGCTTTCGGGCTTAGCCCTTCGTCAGGGGTTAAGTGTCACCGGACCTCTATGTCACATAAAGATCAACGTGATAGTTACTCATCATGTTTGTCAAGATGCATGTGACATAGAGGTCCGGTGACATTTAATCCCTAACGAGACCTAGGGCTAAGCCCGAAAGCTTGGAAAAGAGTGACTTTAAAGTTTCTTAATATCATTGCGTTCCCTATAGTAACATATGTTTATAGACAATAAGTGTATACAATTATATCAGCCAGAGTTTTATTTTTTTTCGTTATATTTCCCTACCGTAATATACATACAAAGTAATGCTATACATATCAGATCCATACAAGGGCGACATTAGGTAAATATACATAGTAATGATATACATGTACATATCAGATCCATACAAGGACGACATTAGGTAAATATACATTGTAATGCTATACATATCAGATCCTTACAAGGGCGACATTAGGTAAATATACATAGAAATGCTATACATATCAGATCTATACAAGTGCGACATTAGGTAAATATACAAAGACATTATATACTTATCAGATCCATACAAGGGCGACATTAGGTAAATATACATAGTAATGCTTTACATATCAGATCCATACAAGGGCGACATTAGGTGAATATACATAGTAATGCTATACTTATCAGATCCTTACAAGGGCGACATTAGGTAAACACACATAGTAATGCTATACATATCAGATCCTTACAAGGGCGACATTAGGTAAATATACATAGTAATGCTATACTTATCAGACCCTTACAAGGGCGACATTAGGTAAATATACATAGAAATGCTATACATGTCAGATCCATACAAGGGCGACATTAGGTAAATATACATAGAAATGCTATATATATCAGATCCATACAAGGGCGACATTAGGTAAATATACATAGTAATGCTATACATATCAGCTCTATACAAGGGCGACATTAGGTAAATATACATAGTAATGCTTTACATATCAGATCCTTACAAGGGCGACATTAGGTAAATATACAAAGTAATTCTATACGTATCAGATCCATACAAGGGCGACATTAGGTAAATATACATAGTAATGTTATACATATCAGATCCATACAAGGGCAACATTAGGTAAATATACATAGTAATGCTATACATATCAGATCCAGACAAGGGCGACATTAGGTAAATATACATAGTAATTCTATACATATCAGATCCATACAAGGGCGACATTAGGTAAATATACATAGTAATGCTATACATATCAGATCCAGACACGGGCGACATTAGGTAAATATAATTTGTAGAATCAACAAGAGAGTTTTGCCTGACAAAATTTTACAAGTATACACAACAGGAAAGTCTAACGTATACAGATTTTCTGTCTGGAAAAAGTCTTCTATTAATTTTTATTCTATAAAATGTGGTTTTACCGAACAGACAGAACATATCAGCGACCTTTATAATCGCTAATAAGTCGTACAGACAGAAGACCAACCGCTGTAGTCAGTACCAGTTGTTTGGACCGTACAGACAGACGACCGACCCCTGTAGTCTGTACAAGGTGTATGTACCGTACAGATAGACGACCGACCTCGGTAGTCAGTACAATGTGTATGTACCGTACAGACAGAAAATCGACCTCTGTTGTCAGTACATGGTGTTTGTACCGTACATAGAGACTTGTATAATCTGTACATTGGTATCCAGGCAATGTCTATAACACCGCGGTTGGAGGAGCAGAGGACATCTTCCGCTGTCAAGGTAGCACAAAATGTAACAAAACCACCAAACACTAAAGGGCACTGTCCGGTGGACTGGGCCAGACCTAATGGGGTACGTCCAGGATTCAATCCACACAACATCCCGGGGGAGTCATGATTGCCGGTTCGGAAGTGCCTCCGGGTGCCCAACAATCCGTAATGAGAGTCATGAATGACACTGCCAAGTCCGTTATAATGACAGAAGGACAGACATTTGGAGTTAAAGAACATGTAGAGGTGATATCCCATCTCCACAGAGAAGCCCGGAGCTGTTATACAACAGACATGGGTCATGGGAAAGACCAGAGTACCTACGGGGACAACAGGGTTACCAAGCCAATAGAGGTCATCCCTCAACTTCCCAGGGAAGCTCCTGTCTATAATGAGATGGATGAAGTTCCCAGGGAGAGCCAGAGGCCAGTGAAGGTCTCGGAAGAGCCACTGATCATTCACCCCGCGGGAGCTAACTGAACGGTTTAAGGAGGTCGTGGACAGTATGGTACCACTGACATACAATGCCCATACTACTGGTCATCAACAAAATAAGCATATGCATGTACCACAAACAGTGGGGCTCAAAATTGAAGGAGATGAGGCGGTAACACCAAAATCTGCCTCATTTCCATTTGACGGGGAAGAGGTAACGGAAACTTGGGTTCCCTCCATCATCAAATGTTTCAAACCAAATGTGACGTCATCAGATAACGACAAGAAAGAAATCGATGACCAGGAGTTAATGCGGTGGGTGGGTTAGCCCAGGGAGGACAACAGAACAAGTATGGAAACACAGTGTGTGTCCTTCGATTCAGATCCATTTCATCAATGATGGTGTAATCTGTGACATGACCGTTCCTTATCCCGTCTACCGGAAACTGCCAAACTGGAAAAAGAGACTTAAAATATATACATGTCGAAGTCGTTTTATCTTCTGAGCCACTGGTAGTTGAACGCGTTCGCAGGGGCCAGGGAACTGTTTGAGTGAAGCGCACCCCGAGGCCACGGACGGGGGCTGCCATTACAGAAGCCTGGCCACAGTCGCTCAACTTTCGCGGAGCAACCCGATAGCGACAGCGCTGTAACCCACTCGGGTGGGGTACTCACCGGCACAGCTTGGTAGACTAGAGCACCCCAAAAGTTGACTAGACTGGTTTGGGGTGACTATGCAGTAGTTTAACGATAGATAAATTACACGGCACTGCTGTGTTCTTAGGTTTAGTAATAAGAGCAAGGACAGTAAAAATCCCTTAGTATTTTTGTGACCCAGGTAAATAGGATCACATTGTACTGCAGGGAGACAGCTTTTAATCAGAAGCTCTATTTAATTCAGCTATCAATACGAAGATTCAGAAAGAGACGGTTGTATGCCTCTCAGGCAGCCTCCGGGCCTTTAGAGAGAGAGAGTGGTTTTCTGCACAACCGTCGCCGGAAACTATGAGGAATCGGCCACTTGAGCAGTTATCTGCTCAGGGGTGGGATTGTGTTATCAACTCCCCGTCACAGTCAGCATACAAGTGGAGGGCATTCTTTCACTTCTGAAACTTCAGACATATCCAAATACTATACATGTCTGAGTACCTGGCAAGGGCACAGTATGCCTATGCTCAACCATGAAGTTTATATTTTTAATGGTCCTGTACCTTGGACCATTGAAATAAGCCCAGCAACAGAATAAGATATATATGAAGTATGGGCCCGAACTTCCACTACTGGGCACGGTGAAACTGTGTTCCTGTTAGGGGTCCCCTATGCTTAAGGGTTGACCCGACCTTGTCCAAATCCACTAGAGAACAATCATCTCCAGCATCTCGGAACAACACCAGAGGACAACTACTTCAAGAAAGACCACCTTATCCATGATTTCTGATCAGCAGCCTCCAACCTCAAGAGGGGGGCCTTCATAAAACGGGGAAGAGTGGTGAATTTTGGGGAAGTTATCTCCCTTTGACCGATAACCGCGCCGACAACCTCGATGTGACATCTCGTCGCGGTCTCTTTACATCTTGACATACTGTAACAGAGCGCATGATTAATTAAATATAAATCACTGCCTCCGGTAGGGAACGAACCCGGGACCTCTGGATTACTAGTCTTATGCTCAACCGACCGAGGTTACATACTCCCCTTCCAGGAAAGAACTCGTCCTCGAATTTTTCCAGGGGTAACAGCGATGCTTGTGGAGCAAGACCGAGTATTTTTCCCGGGTCCCTACGTGGGGGCCAATCACTGCCTCCGTTAGGGATCGAACCTGGGACCTCTAGATTACTAGTCTTACGCTCAACCGATCGAGCTAAAGAGAAGTTCTCTATAGCCGAGCGATTAGTGCGGCTAGTATCCAAGTGAGTGATTTTCCTCCACATTGTTTCATAGATTTCGGGTGCTAAGAGCAGTTCCAACTACTTGTTGTGACGGTGTGGAATACCACACACAGAATTCACGACAATTTTTAACAGTGGTACGAGAATCCTTAAAAAGAAAATCCACACGGAATTCCCGCTATTGCCGTTCAGTGTAGGAAAACAAATATGTTGGCTTACAGATACTTGTCACAATATGGTTTTCCCTGGTCTCCTATAAATGTATAGCTTCAACTAATATGGACACGGGCAGATAACTCTCCTTATATCCATTTACAGAATACTGCAAAATATTTTAATAGATCAATGTACTTGATTACCTAGTGAAACCGTGAGTATATGATCCTATTTAATCAGGAGACTTTACTCTGTACAGAACTTAAGGTTTAACTGTAAGTAGAGTATGGTAAAGATATGTATTTCCATCTTTACTATTACAGCGTCTGACATTCTGCTACCACTGGCCCTCCACCACTGGGTCGCAGGTTCGAGACCTACGTGGGGCAGTCGCCAGGTACTGGCCGTATAGGTCGGTGGTTTTTCACCGGGAACTCCGGCTTTCCTCCATCAACAAAAACTGACACGTCCATAAATTACCATAGCTGTTAATAGGGCGTAAAGCACAAACAAACAAAACAATACAGTGAAAATTTAATGCGCCTTTCATTTTTTATTTTTTTTTGT